GGGGAAATACACGGAAAGACACTTTGGTCAATGGAGGGGGGGGGGAAATGAATTTTGAAAATTTGTCCAGAACTGCGTATGTTGAGTTAAGATGCAGTTAAAGGAACAGGGACTAGAACGTGTAGGAATATTGATGCAGATTTTTTTTAAAATAAGGCTATAACTTGGTCACAAAGAAAGAACACTCTTCAAACACACCGATGAATATCCTTGATCTACAGAACGGTATCCAGCTTTCCAAGTTCTGCGTTTGCTGAACAAGAACACAGACTGATCACGATATACGGCAATTAAAAGGTCAGGGCTTTGCAGGGACACAAGAGCCTTTATGCTCCCTGGTCAAGAGCCTCGGTTCAACAAAGCCCTCGTGACTTTCACACATTTGGCGGCACGGAGCAGGATCTCTCCCCTCCACCCCCCGCTGCAGCGTCCACGGCTGGGCCTGAGGCTCAACGTGACCATCGGGCACCGCAAGGGAGGAAACCCGCCATGCGGGGATGACTCCACACGCCACACGCCTTTTCGCCTCCAGCTCTTCCATTCGCATCGGGGATGAACCAATCCATCCGGGCCAAACGTTCCCCAGGAGGAAGGAGGCCAGTGACCCTGAAGCAGAGCCTTAACACCGGAGGATCATAGAATCGTAGCCGGGAGGGCCTCAAAGCCCATCGAGTCTGACCCTCGGCTCAGTGCAGGGATCCAGATCCCATTCTCTAGAAGGCCCTCCAGCTCTGGAGCGCTCATCCTCTCCAAAGGCCATGAGTTCCATTGTTATACTCCTCTAACAGTTAAGAAGTTTTTCCTGATCAGCCGAAATCCGGCTTCCTGTCGCTCGAACCCACTGTCGCGCATCCTGCACGCTGGGATGATCAAGAACAGATCCTGCCCTTCCTCTGCAGGACGACCTTCCAAGTCTTTGAAAAGGGCTCTCTTCTCTCCCCTCCGTCTTCTTTTCCCAAGGTTAAGCAGGCCCAGTTCTTTCCGTCTTTCCTCCTAGGGCTTGGTTTCCAGTCCCTCGATCATCCTGGCGGCCCTCCTCTGGACTTGCTCGAGTTTGCTGGCATCCTTCTTAAAGTGAGGCCTCCCAAAACTGGACACCAGGCTCAAGATAAAAGCCCAACCAGTGCTGGAGAGAAAGAGGCTAGTCCCTCGTGGGATTTGGAGAGCACCATCGAGAGCAAGGCAAAAAGATCAGGCCCCCAAAGGACAAGGAGGAAGAGAGGGTGATAAACCTAGCGGGCTGGCTCTGGATTCATGGGAGGAGGGTGGACCTGGGCGGTCCCCAAACCATCGTCATTTGGAGAGACAACAAAGAACTTTTTGAACGATGAGGACCGCTAAGGCCAGGCAACACCACAAAGGCTAGCAAGCAAGCGGCGTTGGGCGGAGGCCTCTAGGTCTTCAACCGATCCATTTTGGAATCTGTTTCTCCTTTCTTTTCCACAGTCCGTGGTTAAATCTGATTCAAAAGTGCTGCAACCAGTTTAGATTCTTCACAGGCAAAAGGTCCACCAACTTTAACCCTCAGCCCTGGGGGGGGGGTTTAGAACTGGGAAAACCACTCCTTAAATATCTCATCTATGCTGAAAGATCTTTTAGGGTCCCTATAAGGCGGTTTCCAGAAAACAAAGTGAACGTGATGGGTTCACATTACAAGAAGATTTTTCCCAGATTTTGGAAATCCACGCATATTCTAGAGACGCGATTCAGACCAATCTCCATGACCGAGCCACCTGACTTGCAAATGAAGCCTGTCGTTGAAGACGAATCACCAAACAAATCCAAACGGCAGGAGGTGGAAAGATCTCGTGTTGGAACCACCCCATTTTCTCGGCACTTAAGGAGTTGCCTTTTCTAATCTGTAGCGCACGGTTTCGCTCCGGGACACCAAAGGCCTGCTGACAACGGGCGAAGATAAAGCAGGGCAAAACGGAACCGGTGATAAGACGGAACGAGGCCCCCCCCCCAATAAGGCAGCTCTGTACGCACCCACACCTCTCCCCGAGGAGGTAAGGAAACTGGCACATCAGGGAACAGAGAATATCCTGAGAAATTTATCAGGGATGCAAGAAAAATTAACTTTTTGGATGACTGTCAGCTGCCACGCCAGCAAGCAGGGGAACGTTCTGGCCGCTGTAGACCAAACCCGAGTCATTTTTCCAAGAATGGAGCCTGGGGGCCTAAGCGCTGCTTAGAACTGCGGCATTTGGGGGACTACAACACCCAGAATCCCCAGCCAGATGGGAACACCTCCGTTTAGCCATTGCTAGTGGCTTTCCAGGCCACAAAGCTTGACCAAACTTTGGGGGATCTGGGGATGGTCGGGCCCAAGCTCCTCTCCGGCGGGGTGTGTGTGTGTGTGTGTGTGTCTTCCCACAGGCAGGCTTTTGGATGGAGCAGCTGCAGGCAAAGGGCGGGGAGCATCTCGGGAGCAGCATCCCCCCCCCCAGCCGACTCTCTTCTGCTTACGGCTGCCCACGGATTCCTCCTCGCTTTCTTGCTTTGCTCGCTCGCCTTCCTCCTCTGCCAGCCCTTGGGGGATGTTTTCCCATCACTGCTAATAAAGTCGGAGCAGGCACTCCGTCGCCTCTGACTGGAGTGAACTGGTTAATGGTTGTGTCAGCGCGATTTAGCCCAGCGTCCTTTGAACGCAACGGACAGACGTTTGGCGGAAACGGCTCCCTTCCGTCTCCCGGACGCTGATAAATCGGGGTGGACGTCAAAGCCTCGCTCAGCCTCAGCCTCCTCTTGGCCCCTCCGCCCGGCCCCTCTTGGGTCTCCCTCGGTTCCCAAGCAAACGGACCTGCATCTCGGGAGCATCCCCTACGTGTGGGGCCGAGGGCCGGATGAGGGTCCTGCCAAGCCGAGCCTCCGGCCTTTGCCAGGCGACCTCCTTGCCCGTCCCAGGTGCAAACCTTCACACACACCCTCAAAACAAGGGAACCGATTCAGAGTTTAGGCCTCTTTCAACCGGGGGGGGGGGGCTCGGCCGACGGACCACAAGAGGGAAAGGTGACTGAAGAACAAAGTGCCTTAATCCGGAACAGGTGCTTGGCGCTTCCCACTGGCCCAGGAAGCGCAGCGGCTTCTCCTAACGAAGCATTCACGAACAAAGGGCCCTCGTTCGCTATCTCTCTGAAGACGCTAATTTCACGACAAGAGTTTGTTACCATGTCATTATCCTAATCTCGGCTGCCTTCATCCCAACCAGGCTCTCTCCCTCTTTCTTAAAATGAGAGACAATCAGCCTGCAAACCACCTTTCATC